CAGTTTTGCTAAAAAGCTAAAGAAAGCAAATAGCCTAATATTCAGTGCCTAGGAGCACACTAAAAATCAGATATGGCAACTTTTAATAACAATTATTGAGTCAAAGACATATTAGTTAGAATTAGTATACATGTGTTTATACATATACATAATACACATTTCGATATGTGTATACATAAATTATATATCTCACCAAACATATCTTCACAAAAGTAGGAAGAACATTAGTTGGGAGTCTGGATGACAGAACACCAGTTCCACTATTAACTAGAGGTATTAGCTTGGAGAGCAACTTAACTGTCTCTAAACTTGGGCTTACTCAGCTGTTAAAGATGAAAACTTCCTAATATCTCCTTGAAGGACTGTAATGAGCAGCAATGACGACATAGGTTAGTACTTCAAAGTGCTATACAAATGCAAACTGTCATTACTACTATTATTTATATTCAGTAGAAGAGTAAATATGATAAATAGAGCCTTCTGAACCACTTGAGATGATGAAAGATAACATTCTAGAATTTTAGACTTAAAATCCCAGATTGCATTCATATTTGACCTGATTGTTTATAGTTCATAATGCGTGATCAAAACCGAAAGTTTCTGTGATGACTGCCCTTGTACTGTTCACCATGTAAGAACTTATTCACTATGTAAGAATTTGTTCACCATGTAAGAACTTGTTCGCTATGCTTCAGAAGATTGAAGACTGACAAGAATTAGGCTTGGGGTGGATTAATGATTGTGCATTGAGCATTGAGTCGCCTATACAGAATTTTATTGTTGTTAACAACCATTTGATCAATAAATATGAGAGATGCCCTCTCAAAAAAAAAAAAATCCCAGATTGCTGAAATTTTTCTTGCCTTATTTTATATAAAGTACTTTTATAAGAGTTTATTTTTTATAACAATCACAGTATTTTCTTGTGTTAAAACATTAAATTTGTCTTTTAAAGTGCTCCTCTGATTACAGAAAAAATTACTTTAACAAATGACAAAGTTAATGTGGATGTCAGGACCCACAAACTGCAGGCTGCCTGGGGCCGGCACAGTCCACAGATACTAACTCACGTCAGCCTGCACTTGGGGGAACACCTGTCAAGGAAACCCAGCGAACACCAATCTCAAGCCTCCAGCTCGGCTTATCTGGCTTATGCTAGGTAACAGGGCCCACCTTATGAGGAAATCTGGCCTCCTGGCCAATCCGGCCTGTGTCCCTCTGCCTGGCCTAACTCACTCTTGCCCCTGATCTCCCAGGCAGAGCGCTCTATGCAGGTGCGGTCCTCTGCTCAAGACTGTGGATTGTTTTCCCTTCAGTAAAGGACATCAAACATGTAACTCAATTGTTTTCTTTCTGTCATATGACATGAATAAATCACAAAGAAATGCTAACTTACCCAAAGCATGAAAGACTCAGACTAGAGTTTTGAGAGGAATAAACCCAAAACATGATTGGACTCTGGGGGATACCATGTAGTGAACATGTTTTCTTTTCAAAAAGTAGTCAAGACAACAACGGTTCTTGAACACCGAATGTAAAAGGCTTTGAAAATTCTTCACTATTTTGATAAAATCCAATGTATTAAACTGCAAGTCATTTCACAGGCTATTAACAGATTTTAAATAACCAAAATACATGAACATAGTAGGTGCTTCCTCTAGAGTATTTTTCCTATATGTAAACTACTATTTAAATATGCCATTGACAGTACCACAACTGAAATCTTAGGATAGTCACATTAAAATGGCATATTATGGCACACAGAGAAAGCACACATAAAATAATAATAATATATTGAAATGACAGTTACCGTCTCCTGAAAGTTGAAGATTCCTGAGTATGTTAGATGACTGGAAATGCTCATTTACTCTTCCTTAAGCAAAGGTCGAAACAAAAACATACTTTCAAAATGTGGCCTCTCTCTCTCCTGTCTGTCACATCAATTATGCAAAAAGTTTATTTCTGAAATATTATCCAAAAAGCGAAGGTATGGAGAAACGTGTCTTCAGGATTCAGATATCTGACAGAGGCGGAGGGTAATGAGGGGAAAAGTTGACACTTACGTCTGACTTCAGTTCTGGTTCCAACCTTTACTCTACAGATCTTCCTTTTCTTCCTGATAAACCCTTGTAAGTTGATAATAATGAAAGTCAAAAATGCATTTAATACACTTAACCTACAGAACACCATAGCTCAGCCTCACCTACCTTAAACATGCTCAAAACACTCACATCAGCCTACAGTTGGGAAAAGTCATCCAACACAAAGCCTACGTTAAAAAGTGTCGGATATCTCATGCCATTCACTGAATCATGTACTGGAAGTGAAAACAGAGTGGCTGTGGGGGTACACAACGGCTGTGGGCATACTACTTGTTTATCCTTGTCATCCATGCTCCACCTGGCCTCACAAGAGGATTGCCAGCATGAGCAAACCCAGGAGAAGATCCAAATTCACAACTTGAAGTACAATGTCTACTGAATGCATATTGCTTTGCACCATGGTAACGTCTAAAAGAGTTAAGTCAAATCATTGAAGTCAGGGCTGTCTGTGCTGCATTCTGGAGCCTTGAGAAGTCATTACCATTAGACTCACTAACTTCCAGAGGACAAGGCCACACCTAAAGGGTCCCCTCCGCCCCTAAAATGCCAACACCGTCCGGCTGCACTGAAGAGCCAGCGTGGGCCTGGCCTTGGGCTGCCCTCCTGAGTTCCACTCTGCTGCAGAAAGTTCCCAGCTAACGTAGCTCATGTCCAGCCACTCTCCCCAAGCTGGGCTGGAGGAGAAGCACAGTATTTCCCACCCAAGAGCAGCAAAGTTAGCTATTTAGAGAAAGTGTGGTTTCACAGGTTTCTCAGGCAGGCCATGCAATGATGCAGAGTATGAAATATTTCAGAAGACATTTTGTGATGAATCTGATACACCAGACAGCCATTAGACTTTCAACCTTATGAAAAGGCTTCAGGGATAGTTTGTAAGGGCCTCTACTGAAAGCATTTTTAAAGCCATATTTAACAAACACTTATTAAATGTCTACTGTATCTAAATTCTAGCTCTCTTGGCAGGGTAGGCTATACAAGCCCCTGACCTTGAACAGGATTCAAAATCCCTTAGGGAAATAAAGCATAACCAACCATAGAGATTTTGGCATAATACCAGGTTTACAGAAGTGTCAGCTCTGACTACTGAAAATCATTGCCTTTAGAATAAGGCATTTCCAAAACAACTAGCCCCAAATCTTGAAATGATAAGGAAGCCTTTCCCGTACATGCCAAGGGGCTCACACTGACAGCAAAGACCTCCACGGGGTCAGTGACACTGAAAAGTCTCATGAGCCTCTGAGTGCAGCCAGCAGGGTAAAGGACGCTGATGTCAAAAGAAGCAGGGAGGTCACTGGGGCCCCTGATTCATGGACGAATGCATAGCAGAAAGACAGACATTATTCTGCCCTGGATGTCAGCCTTGCCAGTCCTATGTAGAAAAAGGTAAATGACAAAAAAACAAACCAACAGTGGGGGCTTTTACAAGGAGGCAAGGCCCAGGCACGGCAGGGGTCAGACCTACTCAGCCCATCTGAGAGCAGAGTGTTACAGCGGGTCCGCGGGAAGGCCTCGAACCACCCCCAAGAGGTCAACTAATACAATCTTGAGGTTCCAAGTAACTTGGAGATCCCTGAGTTCAATTCAGTATAATTCATTTAAGAATACCAGGAAGTATGTGGTAATTACAAACACATATCAAAAAATGGATATAATTAAACTAAACTTTAATCTATTACCAGGAAAAATCATATCACCAGGAAAGGGAACACAAGAAATTTAAAACATTTTAAAGTAAGTACTTCCCAACTTGGTGCACCTATCATCCTTCTAAGCCTTAGTTTCTCTGTCTGGTGCATATTCACTAGCTTATTGGACAAAATGTACACACTGCCAGGCCCAGTGCTGGGCACACAGTAAGCCCTCAAGAACTATCTCATTATGTTCTCAGCACTGTTTAATGAGGGTTAACGGGATACATATTCCATTTTGCATTTCTGCTCTAATAAGATATGGGTGCTGAGGGAAAGAGCATCAACAAACTGAATAGGAATAAATTCTGCAATGTGTTTCTGTTTTTCTATGTGAGTAAGAGAAGCTCCAGTCTTCCTGGAATTCACACTCTCAAACATGAAACTGCGGTTCTCCACAGAATTCCAATCCTTGGGGCAGCTCCTTGGGGCCTCGCTCACTCTCCTGGATTCCCCAGGAAGCTCTTAACCTTGATCTTGTCCTAGTTCTGAAAATAATAATCCTCTCCACCCTCACCCAGTTCCTCTCCCTTCTGTCCCCCATGGAGCATCGCTATCCAAACTCATGATCCTGTCAGCGGCCGGGTCTACAATCAGCCCTCCTCCCAGACGCAGTGCTCCAGGTACTGAGGCTCAGGTTCAAAAGGAAAAATCCCAAGACACGAACAAGCAAAGCAGGCAAGCGTCCCCGCTAGCTGAACACCCCTGGAGCATTTCCGTGTCTCCTACCCAGGGGACTCTACTAACCCCAGAGCCCTGTCCCACCTCCCCTCCTGGTGGCCAGTTTATCAAGGAAGGGCCGGCTCTCCGGTATGACTGAGGAGAACAGGGAGAGCCAGCTGGGTACAAAGCCTTAACCTGGGGTTCTCAATGCCGGCCGCATGTCAGAATTATCTGTGGAGCTTTTTAAACTACACTGAAGGCTGCTGGATCACGAGGTCACGTGAGCATTCCCCAGGTAGTATTTAAAAGCTCTGCGGGCCATTCTGATATACGGGCAGGGCTGGAAACAGCTATTCTGAATCAGGCATTGGCACAAAGGTAGGATAGGCATTTAGGAAGGATCAAAGGGACTTTCTGCTCCCCCCGAGTTCATGCTAGTCTGGCAGCCGTCAAGTGTAAAGCCCAGTCTTCCTCCCCATCCCACAGTCCACATTAGAGTGGGGGCATCACCAACACGGCCCCATGGTACTAGGACTGGGAGGACTACCTCGCTAAGGACAGTGTGGTAGATCACAGACTTGTATTCAGTCCAGCTGAGTCACAAATTCAACTCTGTGCTCCCGGGAAGCCACACTAAAAAAAAACAAAGAAAGGAAACAATCAGTGATGATTCACATCACCTATACCCGCAGCAGCTGGTAGGTGAGCAGTGCTCAATAAATAGTTACTGAATGAAAAAAACGAAGAACATGAGTTTAATCTCCTACTTATTCTTCTTGGGACAGAGTTAATTGTTTTTGAAAAGATCTGTTGGGAATTCAATTACAGGAGAAGCAAAAGTAACCCACCAAAGGACATGAGAGGGTGTTCCCACTAGCTCTACTAATTCTCAAAGTGAAAACTGAAAAACCCTGGGGAATACTTGAGTCACTGAATCCCCTGGCGAGGCTGTGACACAGTGGTGAAGACTTGAAGGCACCCACCATAAAATCTAGTCTCTCTTTTCTCCTCAGTAACAGAACCCCGGTTTCCCTTAGGGCAGCTGCATGCCAGCTCCATGCCTCCTTTCCCGGGCCTTCCAGCTGGTGATGGCCATACTGATGACACTCTGGCCAATGTGCTATGAGCAGAAGTCTCACATGCTTCCAGGAGTCTCCTTAAAGGAAAGGGAGGCATTCATTCTTCCTGCATCCTGCTGCGTGGAGACACCTTAAGCCATGCATTTGAGGGCCACTTCCTAGGAATGGCATAGAGAACTGGAAGGATTTTGGGGGCGACTATACCAAGCCTGGGCTTTCCAACTCTGGACCTCCCAAAACTAATTCTAACTGATACAATGACAGTACCTGGGAAGTTTAGGGAAGCTGTAAAAACACAAAGGGTTATAGCTTTCCTCAACCAAACATGAATACACTGAGCAGCATACATGATGCTATAGTTTACCATTTACTAAGCACTTACTCTGTACATTCATCATCTCATTTAATCCTCACAACATTCCCACGAGGTAGCTATTTATCCTTAAATTACAGGTGATGTAACAGAGGTTCACGGAGTTTAATAGTTTATAGAAAGTCAAAAAGCTGGTGAGAGTTGGACCTGGCAGATCCAACCCAAGTTGGATTAGACCCCAAAATCCATGTTCTTTCCATTAATCATGTTGAATCTACGAGGAAAATCCAATAAATGTATCTTGAACAGAGACCTAGGTTTTAAGTTAGTAGCATATAACGAACAGTCATGGTCTCACCGACAAAGCCAGCTTTTTTTTTACTTCCAACAAAGTCTCTTTTTCTCCCCTTTTCAAAGTAAAAGGCACTTAGCAGACACTTAAATACTAGTTCCCTTACAAATAGAACTGTCCTTTTAATTTTATATGGATATTACAAATGGCATAACTGTTCTATTTCATTGCTGAATTGTTCTCAAAGTTACACAGAAAAGAAACAAAAATAATATATTACTCCTATATTTCAGTCATATAAACAGAAAATACACATTAGGCCTTGAAGATATTTTCCTGGCATTGAAAAGATGTCTTTTGAGTTCATCCAGCATGTAACCACCTGGCATTTTACTCTTCCAATGAGGAAGAACTGTTCATCAAGTTCCACGAAGGGACCCCTGCAGGGAGGAGGCCAATGCAGCCATTGTCCCAGGGCCTTCCCAGTTTCTGCACTCAAACTCCTGCATCCTGGGAGCCCCCTCAATTTCCAGAATGCTCCAGGGCCTCAGGGCACCAAATAAATTCACAGTTATGACTTCCACAAGATTTACTAAAATGCAGGTAATTTATATTAAATTAGAGATGAGCATTATTATAAAGCATGATTTTAGGATACCGAGGCAGCTAAGCAAAAAGAAATTACAAAGCTCTACATTTGCATGCTTAACCAATAGAACGTTGCCAAGTATATCAAAAGTGTGTTCAATTCTTCACTGGGATGACGTTACTCAGTATGTGCACCTGCACTCCCATTCACTCTGTTAAAAAATAAGCTTGGACCAGCACCTAGACATTTACTGTCAATGGACACTTCATCTGCCCATAAAACTGAGACACTGTACGAGGAAAGAATGAGAAAGGAATCAACTTTCACCAATGAATTTTAAAGTATCAGTGAAATGGTGGAAAAGAGTGATTTTGATATTTCAGTTTCGTGGTATAATGCTAGGCTAAAAACTCTTGCAAGAGTAGCAACAAAAATCTGTAGAGATTGGACGGGATACATACTACTCTCTAAGATCCTCTCCAACTTGAATGGTCCATGACTCAAGTCATCACTGTGCAATCCTTTTCCCTACCAGTCAGAAGCAAGTCAGGCCAGAGAGTTATGTGACTTTCCAGGGGTCCAGCTCTGGATGGCAGTGGAGTCTGGACTCTGCATCAGCCACGCCCTCACCTTAACTGTGCTCAGAAACACTCAGAACCAAAAGAGCATATGATCAGTATGTGAAGATAAAAGACACATTTCACCTCATATGGGTATTTTACTTAGTTTAGCTCATAAACAGACAAATTGGCCTCAAGTTTTAAAAAAGACTTGAGTCCAGCAACCCTTTAAGCTGTCATTATTTTTTTTAGGAGAGTACGGTACAGGCTTTTATTTAGAGATAAAATGAAGGGACAGAGCTCCCGGCTCATGTCAGGAGGGGACAAGAGAGTCCAGTATTCTGAATCTTTTCATGAACTAAGTAAGCCAAAGGAATGAACACAATATCCTGAACCTTAAAATACAGACGACAACCTCCCAACAACCTACTGCTGCGTCTAGCTGTCCTGCCATCGGGTCTTGTGAGCAAAACAAACAGTTATCTGACCGGTTTAAGGAGTGCCGTGACAATAAGGAAGGACATTTGGTGTTTCTCTAACCTGACAACTTAATTCTTACAACAGAGAAAGATTACAGAAGAGCACAGAAGTCTACAGGCATTTACTGTTCAATCAGTGTTACAGTCCCTTAATCTGGGAAGGTCCCCCAAATTAGATGAACACAAAAACCTGGGGCTTTCAAGGGGAAAGGTGGATTGTTCTAGGTGGCAGATGCATACTGAGTTGTTTTCCAATCACGCTTTTGAATTTATGCTGATCCATTGATACGCCAGCCCTGTGCCTCCAGAACCAATGGTACTGACCACTCACAACCAAGAGGTTTCAGGTTGCATCTATGGCTCTGACACTGACTGAAGCTTACTGACCCACACTATCCCACCTTGGCTTCGCTGGCACCCCTTTCTAAAAGGGGGCAGAAGTGTATATATATTCTGTGAAAGGCCAGGGCTGCTGTGGGGGGTAGCTGGGGCCAATTAGTAGCTTCCCGGGCTCTCAGTATCCTGTTTCCCTTGCCCATGGAATGGGGTTCGTACTCTCACATATTGTATTGTCTGCAAAATCAAACTAAAAGTAAATATATAAAAAAAAATTTGAAAGAGCTTTGAAAATTACAGTTACAACAGATATTTAGCCAGTTAAGTTGGCAAAAAACTGTCTCTCTGACATAGCAGAACAACCCCTGGGGGTATATGAGTTCTTAGGTGACCTGTTGTAAAAGTCCGTTAATATTTAAATACACAATACATGGTTATTAAGCTCAAAAGACAAGTCAAGCAAAGCATTATAAATTATAGATAGGTAGAAGTCTTCAGTATTCTAGCAGTTAGAAGGGTATATTTCAGCATTATGCTGGAAATCACATGGATGTTTCTTTAATACCAATTTTATACACGCCTCACAGGACTTCAGGATAAAGGTGCTCGTTAAACATTAACTATGTGCACAGTCCATTTCCCCAATCCTGCTTCAACGAAAGCACCTTTTACTTGTGCGTATCAATCTAAAATGCCCAGATCAACACAGCTTTCCAGCTACAGCCATATTCTTATCTAAAAAAAGAGTAGAAAGGAATGGAAAAGCCCACTATATTCACAGCTATCTACTACTATAAAGAAAAAGCAAAACGAAACAAGAAAGCTAAAAGCAAATAGGGACTTTTTCAAACACAAAATATTCTTAAAAATCCCCAGTTTTCCACAACCCACAAATACATAAAGTAACATAATACCCTTTTCAAACAAAAGCATGAAGATGACTGCATCAAGTAAAGCAGGGCCCAAACCCTATGATGGAAAGACTATCTGAGCATGTCCTTTATACAATCACAACCAGATTAGTTTCAAAATTATATTCTGCAATATGAAATCTGTACAATATAATTTGGAATTATGAGTGAAAATAAGGGTGTGAAAAATACACCAGGTATTTTCATCTCTTAGAGACAAAATTCTTGCAGCCAGAAAACCTGTAGAATATTAAAAAATACAATATTTAAAAATTGTGACTACAGTCTCAGTTGACTTAGAACAGTTTTAATTGCACTCAGTTTCTAAAATGCTTATTTTAAACTAGTACACTTGCCCTAAATTTCTTCTCTAACAGACCTGGTATTTTCTTGCAACAAAATCTGACGATTTATCAGGGATATAGATAATCTTTTTTTTTAAGATTACATAACTTCTTTCCAAACGATGTTAATGTCTGAGGCTAAATTAAAAGCAATGTAACTGAAAATAGAAATGGAACTGCTAGATACCCATTTTTAACAAACATGAAACTATTTAATTTTCAGACAATTTTATTTCAGGAATGACTTTCTCAAGAAATCAGAATTATCAAGGAGCAAACACTTAATGCTCAGCCAAAGTAAACCAGATGAGTCATATCATACATAGAACAACCTGAGGTAAAGGCAATCGACAAAAACTAAATTACTTTTTAAAGGGTAACTTTTCTCATTCTCTTAATATTTTCCAGGTTCAATTGAGGTGTGATGCATTAGACTCTGTAGCCCGTGTAAGCGTATTTATCTCAACTACAAGACCACAGTGAGTGCTACTCAAAGGAGGGGAAAAAACAAAACTATCTAAACACCTATTATGAAAGGCCGCAATACCCAATTTAAGAAATAACCATAGGACAGAAAACTCAAAAAACCACCGGCTCACACAACCCGTCCCACCTTGCTCCATTCTTTTGCTTATTTCCATTTCGTGGTGAACTTTCAAGTAAAAAGGGAGAGAAACCTGTTGGAGTGGATTTTTGGAAGATAAATACTACAGGTAAAACAAATATGTTGCTCTGAGGAAGTTGTCGACCCATTTCATTCATTTACATACAACCAGAAGATACACCCACAAGTATTCCGATCAGAGAAAATGCAACCTGGTGATCTGCAGATGTAAAACAAGTCCTAGAGGCGGCTACTCTCCCGAGGGGCAAATAAAAAATGTGGCTCTTCACCCAGGCAGCTCCAGGAATTCGGGCTCTGCAACTCACTGCGTGCGGAAATTCAAACGAACCCCGGCGACTCACGAGCGCAGCACCTGCGGGACGCGGCCGGGCTCGGCGGGCGGGAATCCCAGTCCGCTCCACTCACGGAAGCGGCCAAACAGCCCGGGGTTGGGGCGTGCGCACTGCTCCACCCTGAGCGCGACGCGGCCGCCGCGGAGCCGCGAGAGGGAAGCGCGAGCGCTCAGGCTGGGGGCGCCGAGGCGCGGCGGGCCGGCGGCGCGGGGCGCGAGCTCACCTGGCGCAGGGGAACGGCGCGCGCCGTCGCTGCCGCCGCTGCACGGCCAGGGCCCACGGCGCCCGGGGGCACAGCGCCCTCGCGCTGCGGGAGGGGACGCGGCGCGCGCCCGGGTTCCTCCGCCCGCCGCCCCGCCGCGCCGGCTCGCCCGAGGGCGCCAGCAGCTGCCAGCAGCGCCTCAGTGCGCGCGGCCCCACCATCCTCGCGGCGGCCGCAGCTAGCTTCGCTCCGCGGTGCCCAGTCACTCACTCACTGTGACCTTCAAATCTGGCAGCCCTGCCCCCGCCGGGTCCGCACGGGCCGCCACTCCTGCCTTACCAAGATGGCCGCCCCCGCGGACCCCGACTCCGAGGCCATCTTGGTAAAGGAGGCGCCGTGGGGCGTGCGCTGAGCCCCTCCGCCGGCTGCCCCGCGCTCCGCGCACGCTCTGCAGAAGCTCTTCAGACGCCAAATTGACTCCCCGTGTCCAAATCCAGAAGCTAACTTGCAGATCGCATAAACATCTCCCTGGACACCAATTGCTAAAATTAAATGGGATATTGGTGGCCTCTCGCAGCCTGCGCAATCCTAGTAGACGAGCACTGATTAGCAGCATACTTACAACCTATGGCGCCGTGAGCCTGGTAGAAAAAATAAACTGTAAGTTCAGTAGGTATTGAATATTAATGGTAGCACTGCCTTGTCACAGTATGCTCATTAACTTTTTAAATGATGTCACAGACTCCAGATGCACCACAGTTCTCATCTAAATTTGCTTTAAAAAAAATTCAGGATGACGAAAGAAATCAAGATGACATTGTGATTCTGAATTTCCCCCAGGATTTTCTTTTTAAACTGTAGGATGAAGTTACCTTTTTCAAGAAGTATAGACAGATCGAAAGAGACTTCAGCAATGGTTGGTTGAGCGAAATGATTCCTCTGTCAGGCCTCTGGGCCGTGCCCACAGGTCAGAAACAAATGCCCTCCGTCAGAGACTGGGAGAAAGAGGTGGGTATACTGGCAAAGAATGTAAAAATTAAATACAGGCCCCAAATGCAGATGTAACTGCTGGAAAATTAAGCCAAGGTATATTGCCGTTAGAAAATGGATGTGCTAGGGTGATACTGCAGGAATGT